GGGACTTGGTCATTCTCCCTCTCCTCACCCTAAGTGACCCCTCCCACATCGGCCAGCCATGGGAGCGGTAGTAGTCCTGTGTTCACTTGAGTGTGTTAGGGGTAGTGGCCCTCTGAGCTGCAACAGAAACCCACCACCCAACACCTTTGTCCTGGCCCAGGTCACCATCATGGCGTGCCCAAATTACTCCTGGCCTCACTGCTTCCACCCTGGACCCTGAAGTCTACCTCACATAGCTACCAGAGCAGATCCAGGAATGCCTAGGTTAGCTCAAGTCACTGTCCTACTCAGAACCTTCCAGCAATGCCTGCCCCCTCACTTTGAGTAGATGCAAAGTCCTCCTGCAAGCCACTCATCCTGGCCCATCTCTCCCCTCCCTCTGTGACCTCTGATCTACTACTCAGCTCTATCCAAATGCCTTCATTATCTAGTTCCTCAAGCACCCATGGGCCTTTGCATCTGCTGTTCCTCTCTGCTCACAAGTTACCTCTTCCAATAGGCCTTTCCAGACCCCTTGATATAAAACAGCACCCCACCCTGTCGTTCTCAACCCCTCTACCCTGCTTTATTTTTCTCTCCAGCCCCTTCTGTTCCCTGACACACATGTGTCCTTACTGGTCTGGAAGCTCCACAAGGGCAGGCCTCTATTTTGTTAGTTGCTGTCCCCCTCAGCCCAGAAGAGCACACTTGACCTTCTAGGTACTCAGTAAATATTTGTTAAATGGATGAATGCACTACCCTAGGAAGGGCCACCCAAGTCTCTGACACAAACTCTGACCACACACAACCTGCTACCTTCTTTCCCACTCCTAGCCTTTGCTCATGCTGGGTCGTCCTACTAGAACGTTCCCTCTCTTCCAGTTTTCAAGGCCAAGGCAGAGCTTCCTCTCAGAGACCTCCTCAGCCAGCCCCCAGGCTAACATCCTAAACCCTGTCCAGACTGCTGGATTCCAAGTTCTTGGAGTATCTCAACGCCCAAGCAGCCTGGGGGTTTCTCCACCCCATTGCCTCACAGCATGTGTAGCTGGAGAGATCACAGATGGGAGAAAAGCAGGAGGGGCAAGTCTCTACCCTGGGAGAGGGGGCTGGGGACAGGATTAGCAGCAGCCTCCCAGATCCAGCTGGTCCCGGAAATGTGGGGCTGGAAAATGTCACACTCAACTCTAGTCCATCCCCCAACCCTTCCCTGCAGGAGAGACTTATTCCTGGACTGCACCCCTTCCCCCAGCAGCCCTGAGCCCTTGAGAAGTGGGTGAGGTGGGGGCCAGGGAATAAACACAGAAAAGGGACAGCCCTTCTGCCTATCCTCCCCGCTCCCACCCTCCTCCTGCTGGGTGACAAGACATTTAATTATAGATATTTGGTACCACTCAAAATTCCAAATGTCCTAATTGCCTCATCCCCTCCCCCCAGAACCAGTTTCCATGGAAAAACCACAGCAAACAGTCAAGGAGGGGTAGGAGAGAACCTCCACCCCTCAGGTTCCTTGCCAAGGGGGCGCCAGAGAAACAAAGGTGGTAGGAAGAGCAGCAGCTCAGGCCCTCTTAAGGCAGGGAGCTGGCTAGGCAAGCTGGGGCTGGGTGGGCTGGCATGTCTGCCAAGGGTGATAATAGGAACAAGACCAGGATTCTGGTGCTTGGGTCTAGCTCTGCCCTCTTTGCTGTGCAACATGAGACCCAGCATTCTCCCTTTCTGGGTCTTAAAGTTCTTCCCTGTGAATTAAGTAGCCAACCACTATGAAAATATTCAGGGGATATGTAGGCGAAGCTCCCAACCGCCCCTGCCTTGTGCCCACTTTTCAGACGGCAGGCCAGTCCCACTGAGAAACTGGGCCTGCTTAGTTCTTTCATGTTGAGGTACTGATGTGCTAGGATTCAGCACAGACTAGGACAACTCACAGACTAGGATTCAGTCTGTCAGCTGAAGTCAGCATGGTAAGTAAGATACTCAAGCTATCCCATTCCAAAGATAAAACCATCAGGGTCTGCCATACAACAGGCACTTAATATGTGTTAGCCCTTTGTTACTGCTATTCCAATATGCTAAAGTTGCATGAGCTCATCCAGCTGTGATTCTTAGAGACAAGTCACTTTCTGTTTCTGGGCTATGCACGTTACATGTGTCAACTGGGTATCAGGTACATGAGGACAGAGGTGGACCATAAGGCTGTACTCTAAGGCAGAAGTAGGGGAAGCCTTGGTGCTAAGGGTCGCTGATCAGTCAGGCTACCGTGGACCTAAGTGGAAGAAATCAGGTGTTGGGGTAGGGAGGCCCAGGCAGCACATTCACAAGCATGTGTTCATAGCCTAGGTGAGCCAGTAGCTGTGTCCTTGGTCCCCTTACAGACACTGTAGAGAGCTGCCTTTCTCTCTCCTCCAGCCACCCATTTCCTTTGGCCATCTTGCAGGGTGAGCCCCTCCTACAGAGCCTCAAAGACCAGTCTAAACTTCCACTATACAGATGGAAAAACTGAGGCCCAAAGACAACCCTGTCCAGGTCCACAGTGAGTCGGAGGCTGAGCAGAGCCTCCTAGCAATGGGGGTGATTATGGGCTCTGGGGCTGGGAGAGACCAGGGTGTGAAGGACTCCCCGCAGCCTGAGGTCCAGGGTTCCCTCAGTCCCCCTGAGACTCTCTCTGGCTGGATTTACAGTGGTTTTTGCCCCATAAGCAAAGTGTGACAGCTCCTCTGGTCTCATTCAGGAGCCCACACCACACCATCTCCACCCACAGTGCAGGGAGCGTGACTGGAGCCCCAGGCCTGAGACAAGGGAACATTGTCTGCCCAAGGAAGGCCAACAGGAGCGGTGGACAACTGCTCCCCATCTTCCTGGAGCCAGAAGGAAGGGGACAGCACGAGGGATTCAAGCTAGCAGATGGAAGAACTTTCAGGCTTGGTAAAGGGGTGGGGAATGAGGAGATGGTAAAAGTCTTCTGAGCCTAGTGAAATTCACCAGGTTTTACTGAGGCCTGGTAAGGGCCAGACACCAGTAAGGGAAGGGCAGGGAGGAGGCTAAGCCTGGTCACTGAGCAGCAGCTAGGGTAGCAGAGCCTGTTTTTGCCTCTCTCCTGCCCCCAGGGAGGGAATAATCACACCACCGCCTACCTGCAAGGGCCTGCCAGGCAGAGACCTTATCTCCATTTTCAGAAGGGGAAAGTGAGGCATAGAGTAGGGATGGGACAAATCCTAATAACATACTTACCAGTTTCTCTCCCCTAAGGGCTGAGAGGGAACATCAAACTGGGCCTGGAAAAGTGGGAGGACCAGAGTGGGCAGAGGCTTGGAAGCCAGAGAAAACCCTGTTCAAGGCAGAGTGAAGCCTGCCTGTATGGCCAAGCTGTTCCTCCTGTGTCACAGCCCCCTAGGGGGTGGGGGGCCAGAGGGAAAATGTGAAGGGAGTGGGGCAAAACTCCTACCTCTTCCCTGTCCTCGATGCCTCCTGCTAGGAAAACCCCCAGGCTCTCCAAGGCCTCTGGTTTACCCTTGCTGGCCCCCTCCCAGCCATCTGGGTATGGGAAATGGGGCTGGGAGGGCAGTCAGGCAGAAGCCACCCCTGCTCTGCCCTCCCCTCCCTCATCTTCCAAAGACAGAACTGGCACTGGAGTTTAGGGGAGCAGAGCTCCCCTAACAGAATCTCAGAAGGTCCAAAATTCCCTCCCTCCCCACTCCCTGCCTGCTGACTCTCCCTATGGCCTCTGTAAGGAACAGTAGAGCCAGGACTGGGGAAATAGAGCCGAGAAGAGAGAAACAAAGGGAAAGGGACTTAGGGGGCCAAGAGAGCACTGGGAACTGTAGTGACCAAATTAGTTCAAGGTTTTGGGTTTCCAGGCTTCTCACAGTCAGGGACACAGTGGGAGTGAAGGCTTCAGTTGAAATAACCCCAGGCCACCCCTGAGCTCAACCCAGAACCCAAGAGCCTCAAATCTTGCTTCCAACTCCAATGCCAAGGCATCTGCTGCCTAGAACCAGTCTGAATCCACAGCCCAAACCCTAGGAATGGCTCAAGCCAGAAGGTAAATATGGGGGCTTTAAGGAGAGTGAGATCCCTGGCCCTGGAGGGAAAAGGGCATAGGAGAGTCACCCAGAAGCAGGCCAGGTAGGCAGCAGATGCAACCAGGCAGGATGGGCATCAGTGTCCCTGCCCTAACCCATGAAGGTAGGCCTGACTGTAGGGCCAAAACCACTCCTCACCTCTTTAAAGAGCCTTTACTGCTCAGTCTCAGAGGATGCCTCCCTGCCTCCACCCTTCACTAGCAGCCCCAAGCTAGAAGCTCCTCTATTTGAAGAGGGGAGGAGTGGTTTTGAGCACAACTCAGGCTCCTAGAGTGCCCCAACTCATACCCTCAGGCTTCCCTAAGTCATGAGAAAGATGAACATCATAGCTAGGACAGGGCTGGGGTTACAGCTCCTCTGTAATTCTGTAAAGTAAGCCCTTGTGCCTCCCGAAATCTCCCAGGCCTGAAAACAGATTTAAATTCTGACCTGCCACAGGCAAACAACAGGAGGAAAGGCAAACACATGCCACCTATGGGCCCCTAAGCTCCAAACTCCTAGTAGGGATCTGGCCAACAGCGAGCAGGGAGGTTCAAAGAAAGGCTGAGCCTGTGCTCGGTGCCATTGCCTTCATGCTTCTTGTGTATTTACAACAAAGAACCACAAGGGAATCGCCAAAACCAGCCCCAGAGAAACATCTGAAGGGCTCTGTAAGAACTTCTGTTAGGCAGGTTCTAACTACCTACTACTCGAGCCACAGCTCCAGCCCCAAAACTTCTGCACTCTCTACCAGAATACCTTGGAACAGACAAGAACCTCTGACACCCACAGAAGCCTGAAGCCTCTTCAGGGCCTGAGTAGATTGGAGCTCTGTGTCATTAACACTCTTACAACTGCCTAGGCACTTTCAAGAACAGCTAAGCACCCTTGGACCTCGGCATCTCCCCCAATGAGTACATGCAAAAGGCTTCTGCCAGGTTGGTGCCCCTGGCCTCCACAAAGACTCACCACCTGTGGCTTGCTGCAGTACTTGCTGGCTGGGGCAGGCTTCTCTGGAGCCTGGGACACCTCAGGAGGCTTGGCCTCAGCAGAGGGCAGTGCAGCAGGAGTCAAACAGGGTAGGTCCACAGGCCCTGAGACAGGGGCCTCACCCGAGTGGAGGGTCAGCATGTACTGCTTGGTGACATCTTCGAGTGATGGTGCCTGCAATGTGGGGTGGGGTCGAGCAGGCTCTGGCACAGCCACAGGGGGTCCGACAGAAGTCGAAGGCTCAGGCACCACAATAGGTGTGAAGGTGGCAGGCACACTGGCGTGGCGAACATGTTTGGCAGAGGGCCGAGACTGAGACAGGCTGTCACTCTGGTCCTGATTGCCCTGCTCTCTCCGAAGTTCCTGGTGACTGCTCCGGGCTGGACGCTTCTTGGAGCCTCGTCGGATGAGCCTTGGGGACAGGATGTCAGCTAGCTTGGCATCAAGGTGAAAGTCATGGTGGGAAGTGGAGGAGGCAGGTGGGGCCTCAGGTAAGGCCTTCTCAGATTGTGCCCGGCCCCTGGCAGGACCAGAGTCTTCTGGCTCTGCCCGCTGCTCTGCAAGGATAGGCTCACTGCTGGATGGAGGCAGTACGGGCTCGACTTCTCGGATGGGCTCCCCTCCAGGGCCCTCAAATCCAGGCCCTGCCAGCTCCCCACGACGACTTGGGTCACTCAGAGATTTCTTCTTGGGGGCCTTGGCAGCAACCCTATCTTCCCCCACACGCCCCAGAGCACCAGGGCCCTGAACAATGCTCTGAATAACCTCCTGATACCCCTTGCTTTCTTCACTACCCACAGACCAGTCACTGTGGCCACTGGTCAAGCCCTCATCCACAGCTGGGGTCACTGGAAGCCCTGTTTTGGAATTCAGTGAGCCCAAGAGATTGCTGTCCATGGAGAACCCAGAGGGCTCCTCAGAGGTGGCAGGCCGGTGGCGTTGTGGAATCGGGTCACTCAGGGACCTGTAGGCCTCATTTGTCTCCCCATTGCTCAGTTCATTCCCACCTGGACCTGATGAAGGTGGGAGTTTTCGTCTCCTGCGGAGGGCACCTGGTGTGGAAGGGGTTTCAGGGGACACCAGGCCCCACCCACCCAGACTCTCCTCTGTCCCAGGACTATGGTGGTTTGTCTGAGCTGAGGATGAGGAAAGTGGTCGCCACACCCCTGTGGGACCCAGGCTGCAAAAGGCTGTACCAGGAGGGTCAGGGTCTGCCCCAATGCCCTCATCTGTCAGGCTGGACTCAGGTCCAGAGAGCTCCTCCTGGGATCGCTGTCCTTGTGTCATGTCCCCTGCCCAGTCAGGACTTCTAGGAGGAACATCACTTCCATCATCCTGCTGGGCTCCCATACGCTGGATCTTCTCAAAAACCTGACGGGCCTCCTGCACATACTGATCCTGGACCACCAGTGGCAGAGGCTCCTCCTCAGTCCCAGAGCCACCCAGCAAGAGCTCAGAGCTGCTGGGCTTCAGAACACTGGTGCGGATCAGGCGCCTGGCCATAGGCTTCTCAGAGCAAGTAAAAGACTTTGCTCTCCGCAGGGTAGCCGTCAAGTCCTTGAGTGTGGGGCGGGTGCCAGGTGATGGAGGGGCTTGGGAGGGCATGGGCTCAGGTTGTTCCACTGGGCTACCTGCTGATGGTGAGCCTCTGCCATCTAGGGGGCTGCTTCCAGGGCCCCCACTGGGTTTTCGGACCCTCAGCTCTGACAGGTCTGAGCGAAGGAAACTGAGCAGTGTCAGGGTCTCCGAGGCAATATCTGGATTTGAAAGGGACTTTCGCTGCCGGCTCTTGTCCAGCTCCAATCCTCCATCTTTCAACGCCCTGGTAGTGCCCACATGTCCCTTGGCACGGCTCCGAGCCTGGGCCCGAAGGAGTCCTTCCCCGGCTCCAAAACTTGGGGAGCGGTACACGCCCCAGCTCCCAGAACCCCGGCTAGACCACAGGTCATCGTCCTTTAAGGTCTCGGTGCTGGAATAGCGGCTACTACCGCGGGAGCCTGCAGGGCTAGCCAGGTACGCGGGAAAGCTCACCTTGGCCACCCGGAAAGTACCTCCCACAATGTCGGACATAGGCCGCAAGCCCTCCTGGGGACCTGAGACGCAGGGCTGCGGGCCAGTACCCCACTCCCTGGGTCCCTCCTCCATCGGGGCTCTTGGAGACATTGGAGGTTCAGGGCTCCTGACTCCCCCTGCGGAGTCCATGCTGCCCAAATTTAACCCATCACTGTCCAGCCTGCAGTCCTGATCCAATAGGGAATTTTCAGGCCCGAGCTCCGGCCTCCCTCTCCAGCGGTGGCCGCCCTCACCGTCTAGGTCCTCGTCACTGCCCGAGGAGTGGCCGCGGTGGTAGGCCGGACTCTGCACCCTGGGCTGCGGCGGCTGGCCCTCCTCTTCCTCCTCGCTGGAGCTGGCAGCCCGGCTGCGGCTGACAGGATAGGAGGAGGCGATGGAGGAGGAGGAGGAGCAGGAGGCCCGGGCCCCGGCCTGCGGTTGCGAGAAGCTATGCCAAGAATGTAAACCATCCGCCGGACGCTGCGCTCGCTCCTGTTGCTGCTGCTGCCGCCGCCGCCTCTCCTCGATCCCGGATCCGGACAGCGGTCGCGCTGAACGCAGGCCCGCCAGAGGAAAGCACGTCCGAGGAGGTGGCGTCGGCGGCTGCCGGTACTCCCGAGTCGGGGGCTCCCACGCGGCACTGTCGGGGCTGGGTATTCCCGGGGCCTCCGAGTCCGCACTGGGCCGCCTGGAGCTAGGGCCGCCGAAGAGCTTGCGCATCTCGGTGACGCTGGGCCAAGCCCCACGAGCAGCGCCTTCAGTCGCTTCTTCCGCGGCCGCGGGGGAGACGCCCCCGTCCCGGGCCCCAGCGGAGTCGTCGTCCAGACGCGGCGCGTCGAAGCGCCGGGAGAGCTGGCGCACCGATGGCGAGAGGCTGCGGAGCGGGCGCGGCTGCGCGGGGGCGGCCGGGGGCCCCGACGCCAGCTTGGACACGCGCCGGGAGGGCTGGCCCGGGACTGTCGTGGCTGGCCGGCACGAGGCGCGGCGCTGCAACCCAGAGGTGTCCGTGTCCTCCTCCCTCGGCCCGGGTCCGCCGCTCCAGCGTTCCAGCAGTTTGAAAGAGACGCTGCGATAAAGTGGGGGCCGCGGCGACCCGTCCGCCATGGTGGCCGCACTCACTCCGGGGGGGCTGGCCTCGGGGAGCCGCGGCCAACCCCCCCCTCCGCCCCTGCTCCAAAGGAGCGCAGTGGCCGCGGTCCGAACCTCTGGGTCCTGCACCCGCAGCGCAGGGGTTTGGGAGGAGGGCGCAGAGACCTGAGCAGAGGTTTATCTGTCGCAGATCAAGTTTCTGCGATCACGGGCGGCAGCGGCTCCATCCCGGCCGGCCTCTCCTGCCTCAGCGGCGACCCGCAAGGCCCAGCCCTCGCATCGGCGGGAGCGGCCAGGGGCATCGCGGCCCGGCCTGGGAGGGATCCCAGGGCTCTGTTCCTCGGCTCGGCGCCCGCCTGCCCGGCGGCCAGCCTGCCTTCCCTCGCGCTCCCGCTCCAGCTCCCACTCCCTCCCCCTTGCCTGCTCGCTCCTCGCTCCCTTTTGTTGCGAATAAACTTTGTGGCAGAGGAAAGGGGGCGGGGGGCGGGGCCTCGCGCCCAAAAGAGGGGGGTGGGCTCCGGGAGCGCGCGAGGCTGAGAACACTGTGTGGGGAGGGAACTGGGGAGGAGCCGAAGAAGAAACAAGATGCTTGAGCACTTTCAGACAGTAACAACCCTCCGAAGTCCCTCGGGAACGCAGAGGGCCGATCTGACCCCAGGGACTCGCTGAGACACACGCAAGCTTTCAGACTGGTCAGCTCCGCACTTAGCCACGGCGGTGCGTCCACCGCGTTTCAGCCGCTTTTGCGCGGGAATACCTCTACCCAAGGGGCTCCAACATGGCAACTTCGGACCCACAAACTTTCGTACACACCGGCACTCAGGTACACACAGAAACTCTCCTGGCTGGGAAAGGGGCAGGATCCAAAGCCAGGGGGAGGGGCAGGCCAACTAGAGCACCGGCGGGCTCCTGGCCACGCCTCTGGCTCCTGGCGAATCCTGCTGCGCCACGCCCACGTCCCGCCCTGCATTCTCCCAAACGCCCACCCGTCCCGCCTCCGTGCGGCCTGTCCAGCTCTGACCGTCCCTTACCCCACCCCCGCCGCTCTAGAAGCCCTTCCTCTTGGAACGATTCACCACCATCCAACCCCAGCTATACCCCCGCTTTCCCAGCTGCCACGCCCCCGACCTGCCCCCGCGGTCCCGGCGGCCTCTTTTTTTGGATGCTCCGCCCTGTGCCCCGCCTCCTCTTTACCCCGCGCTCAGGGGTACGTGGCTCTTGCGCCCTCTACCGGCCGTATCCTCCTAACTCTGGGAGCTCTGGACCAATGGATAAAGCCTCATCCACCCCCATCAACCGTCGAGAGTTAGGAAGGCTTCACTTTCTTTTAGTAGTTCCCTAGTCTCCTCAGTCTTTCCAAACCTTTTCAAAAGCTTTCAGCTCCTCCTTCGACCTCACACACAAAAGGATCTCGGACGGGAACGCCCTTGACTCCCCACGGCCTAATCTATACTCCTACCTGCGGCTGCACCACCCTCCTGTGGGTAGTTTCTCCTGCTTCGCACATCTACCCTTGAGTTCTCCTCCCTCCTCTGCCCCAGTCTGGCGAGTTTGAGGTTGTTCCGGGTGCTTGGGCGTCACCCCCTTCCCCACCTTCACCTACCTGTTAAGTCTACTTTCATCTTTCAGGGCGATTTAAATGCAGGACTCTGTATCTGAATAAATGAAAATTTATGGCTCGCCTCTGATGTGGAATATTATTTCATTTATTTTACTTAATCCTTGAACCACCCTTGAAGATAGATATTGGAGATGTAACTTTAACTGCTGTCAGTCAGAAAAAAACGGGAGTTCCTACTATGACTCCAATTCAGATTTTTGGATCTTCAAACACTATGCTCCTCCAGATAACCTTCCCAGCCCCAGATCCAGATGAAGAATGAGGTTCTCTTTCATTCGAGCCCCCAAGAGCCGCTGCCTCCTTCTGCCTGAGCTCACCTTTCTTGGGAACAGAGGACAGTCTGCACTTCCCCATGTTCCCTCAGCTTTGCTCCAGTCCCTTTCAAAACCAGATCTGGCCCTCCAACCCTCAACCAGTAACACAGCCTTATCCAGCCAATCCCCCTGCCACCCAGTCCCTGCCAAAGAGACTGTAGCAGGGCAAGACTAGACCTAGAGGCCCCATTTGGATGATAGGGGCAGGATGGTAGATACTCAGGGATTATCTGACTATGTAATGAGGGAGAGCGGACCCCACCAGGACCCCAGGCCCTGCTTGCTACTCACATATCCCGCAGAAGGGGAATCATTCTCTCTCCCTTCGCATCTCTGGGTAGTGGGAAATCTGGGTTGGCAGAAAGGCCTTCCTCTGAATTGAGATCAGCCTCCAGTGAGGCTCTCACTTATTCTCAAAGCTCTACCTCAAAGAGGCCAAGAAGTAAATCTTTTCCTCTTCACTGGGAAATTGGTGGGCAAGGAAAAGAGCCCTGGCCAGGGCCTGTGCCTCTCTGCCCTGCCTTGCTGTGTGACCATAGGTATCTCTGTGCTTCTCTAGGCCTCAGGAGTCACTGTCTCCCCCTATAATAATGGCTTCTACCATCTGAAATGTGTACTTTGCCAAGCTCCTTCACACTCTGTTATATTCTGCCATTTTTTTTTTTTTTAGAAAGGGTCTTACTATATAGCCCAGGCAGGCCTCAAACTCATGATCTTCCCCCCTTAGCCTCTAGAGTGTTGGGGATCACAGGTGTGATCAGCCATATTCTGTCTTCTTGTCATTTCTGGGACAGCGGTCCTTATCCTGTATCACAAATGGTGGAGATCAGTGGAGACTAGGTTACAGGCTCTCAGAGTCCTGTGGCCTCTGGCCCCCTGTGGGGGGGAGGGGAGGGTGTTTACAGATCTAGGCTGGGCCTCTGCCCAAAAGGAAGTCTCCCAATTGGAAAGTGGGTCCCCTACTTCTAGTGCCTCAGGAGTTCTCCCACCTCAGCATCATCACTTTCCATGAGCTGAAGAGCTGGATGTTTTTAGCCTGGGAAGACTCCATTTGGGAAGGGCTAGGAGCACTAGGCACAGTGCTAGGATTTTGAAGCCAGGCCTATGCCTGCCCAATGTGCCCTTTCTCCCCATCTACAAAGGGAGAATGAAACATCTACTCAGTCAGGTGACCCAGTGAGGTCAGATCTATAGGAACCCTTGAAGAAATCAAGCTGGGAAGGTTTTGATGGTCACAGTCATGGCTAATGATGGGCCTCAGTATGTAAGAGGGAAAAAGGATGTGAGTGGGGTAGGGGGAGGGTCCCAAAGAAGAAATGAGCTATCAGAAGGAGCTGTCTTAGGAGGTAAACTGGCTACTACTAACTCTATTCCAAAGCCGAACAGAGACTCTGAAATGTGCGCTTTCCTGTAGAATTAGATCTCAAGTGCACAGGATTGGATTAGCTATAATCTTTTGTTCATAATATATTCTCATCAGTTATTTAATTGGTTCTCACCAAAAACCAAAACAACTAGGACCTTTACATTAACCTATATCTTATATAGTTCACCTCCTAGGATAAGCCTCATCTCAAATCTATGTTTAGTGTTCTCTTGCTTTCCTTCTTGTCAGTCAATTTGATTGCATCTACACATTCCCTGAAACCACATTTTTTTTCTTTTTTCGGTACTGGAGTTTGAACTCAGGGCCTACATTTTGAGCCACTCCACCAGCCCTTTTTTTGTGTTAAGTATTTTCAAGATAGGGTCTCACAAACTATTTGTCCAGGCTGGCTTTGCACCTCGATCCTCCTGATCTCTGCCTCCTGAGTAGCTAGGATTACAGGTGTGAGCCACTGGCACCTGGCTATATATTTTCATTTTAGTTGGTTTTTCTTTCTTTCTTTGGTTGTTGTTGTTGTAACCCAGACTGGCCTTGAATTTTCCTTTCTTCTCCCTCAGCCTCCTGACTACTGGGGATTATGGGTGTACACCATCATGCCTGGCTGCTTTAGTTCTTAGTTTTATTAAAAGGACACCCTGCTTGTATGTAATTTTGGGGGCTTCCTTTTCCTTAATATTCTGCCAAGATTTATTCACCGTGTTGCCTATTGGGGTCGTTGATTCTGGTTGTGGGAAATATTCTGGTGTATTGATCCACTGTTTCGTTGATGGACATCAGGTGGTTGGCAGAGGTTTGCTGAGCATTGGTGCGTGACTCCAGGGCATGTGGACAGGAGTGCTGAGGCATAGCTCTGGCAGCACGCTCAAGTGATAAAGCGCCCACCTCGCAAGCACAAGGCCCTGAATTCAAGCCTCAGTACTGCCAAAAAAAAAGTGTTCAGTCACAGGACAGTATAAGTGTTCAACATTAGACAGCACTGTCAAGACAGGATCGAATATCTCTGCTAGTTTTTTGGATTATCTGTGTTTCCTGTTATCTGAAGTGCCTGTTTGTGCCTCTTGAGCATTCTTCTAGTAGGTAATGGTATTTTTAGTGTTTTTGAACTTTCTGCCTTAACATTCCATCATTTCCATCCCCTGGCCGTGGGGGAGGGCTCGTGGCCTTATTCTTGTATCAGGAAAGGAAACTGACTTAGAGAGGTGTAGGGCTGTTCAAAGTCCCAGAGCCTGTTACAGCCCTCTGCTCTGAGCTCATCCCTCTGAGACTCTTTGGGTTCAGCTAAGGAATCTTTTCTACCCTTCAAACTTGGTCAGGTCCCCAACCCCTACTCTGCACTCAGTATCCTTCAGCCACCGAAAGCCTCGCTCACTAGGCCTCCCTAGTGAGGCCTTCCTGAGTTCTGAGCGTTCTCCTCTCAACAATGGTCCAGGTGATTATGTCTATTTCATGATTGCCTGTCTCCTCCATCAGACCAAGAGCTCTCTGAGGGCAGTGCCTCACCACCCAGCATGAGGCCTGGCATACAGTAGGTAATGAATTAATGTTGTTTCCTTGTCTCTACCTTTTAGCACCGGGATTCATTTTTGCTGTACTGGGGTTTGAACTTAGGGCCTACACCCTGAGTCACTCCAACAGCCCTTTTTGGTGATGGGTTTTTTCGAGATAGCGTCTCGTGAACTATTTGCCTTGAACCACAATCCTCCTGATCTCTGCCTCCTGATTATCTAGGATTATAGGCAAGCACCCTGATTCTTTCCCAGAGTAGGGTCTGCACCATCTCAGAGGCACACAGAGAATGCTGAATGAGAAGAGTCTTCTGCAGCTACTGCTGGGACAGACCCAGTGTTCTGGGCTTCTCCTGCATGGAGTGGAAATCTCCCCAAGACAGATCTTGAGCCCTAGTTCCTGATTCTCTGGCTCCCCAATCCTTGACCCCACTTCCCCTGGCTCCTTGTCCTTGACTTGGCAAGATATGAAGGTCTTAGCCCTTGATGCTCCTTTCTCCAGCCTGATCTTCCTCAGAACCTTCCTCTCCTCTGCTTTACCTACCACCTCCACTTCCTTCTCTCTTCCCTACTCTACCCTATCATGCCACCATTATGCAGAGACATAAGATGCCTTCACAGGTGTCTCCAGACCATTGACTCCTAGCTTCCACCAGGTTAGGCATTGCCCCCAGTCAAGACCCTAAGTCCACCATAGTCCAGGTCACTGCCTGAACTCGCCTGGGTCCATCAGCTCAGGAAGGAACCTGACTGAAGGATTAGTTTTGGCTGTAGGTAAAAAAGATCCCCCAAATGAGAGGTTTTTTTAAAAAAGACATTTATTTCTCTCTGATGCAAATGAGAATGGATGAAGAATGGTTGGAGGCCCAAGCTGTTCCCACCTTTTTGCTCTACCAGCCACAGAAGGGGCCCTTCCCATCATAGTCCATGGTGGTGCTCCAACTGTCCCCTCTGCTGTATAAGCAACTTGAAGGGGAAGTGCCAAGGGCGCTATTCTTTCCTCCTCCTCCTCCTTCCTCTTCTTGTGCTAGAGATTGAACCCAGGACTTTATATATGAGTGGCTTCACCACTGAGCTACATCCCCAGCCCTTGTTTTTTTTTTTTTTTTGCAACAGGTTCTTACTATGTGCCCAGACTGGTCTTGAACTCTGAGTCCTCCTTCCTCAGCCTCCTAAGTACTGGAATTACAGGTGTGTGTTACCACCCCCAGCTAGAGAGGGCCCTATCTCTAATGACACCACCTGTCTCTAGGGATACTCCTCCCTCCCTGTACTAATGTGACCTGGCACTTTGCTGCTATTCTGTGGCCAGAAGTAAGTGATCTAGCATGTGTAGCTGCAAAAGAGTCTGACACGTGAAATTTTCATCCTAGGAGGCCGTGTGCCCAGCTAAAAGGAAAGACTGGTACTGTGGTTGGCATCTGGCTACCTCTGCAACTCCTTTCTGGGGGCCCCAGTTACTGGGACTGGGCAGGGGAGGTGGCACTTGGGTGGCAGGTAAAGAAAGGGAAGGGAAGGAACACAGACAAGGTCAGGGTGTTGAGGCACCAGGGACCATGTGGGTTCAGTGGAGTCCAAAGTGACTCCCATGGGTTGCAGAAGACTTCTTGGAAATAGGGCAAGGCAGATGGGCCCTGAAGGATTGATGTAATCAGGAGGAAGGAGAGAGATCCAGGGTGTCTCTGGTACAGGAGATGTCACCCTCCAGCCCCCAGGCCTAACTGCTTTATGCCATGCTCCTCCTCCTCCTCCTTTCTTTTTGACACAGGGTCTCACTATGCAGCCCAGGTTGGCCTCAAACTCACTATCCTACTGCTTCAGCTTCCTCAATGCTGGGATTACACGTGTGCACCACCAGGCTTGCTTCAGTGCATTCCTCTCTATGGACTCTGCACCCTCAGTGTCTCAGTGCCTTCCTGCCACCAGAGGCCGCTCTTCTAGGAGGCACCCCCAGTTCTTCCCTCTGCTGAACTCACATAGCCTGTATACCTGCTGACCCTTCCCCTTGTCTGGATGGTGGTAGTGAGACAGCTCTTGCTTCCTTAGCTTTCACAAAAGACCATGAGGTCTTCCTGCCACCAGAGGCCGCTCTTCTAGGAGGCACCCCCAGTTCTTCCCTCTGCTGAACTCACATAGCCTGTATACCTGCTGACCCTTCCCCTTGTCTGGATGGTGGTAGTGGGACAGCTCTTGCTTCCTTAGCTTTCACAAAAGACCATGTGTAGAGACTACCCCAGGTGACACTAAGATGCGCCTCAATTCTGTCTGCCAAGCTCTCACTTAGCCTTTGACATCTGGATCATATGATCAATCCCTAGAGAGTTCTTTCCTGATGGGTTGAACTGGGTGATGGGCGTCCTCTGGACATCCCTCCCCCAACCATGCTTCTGTCTGTCACATCCCTGATATGACACTCACTGTGTCAGTATCTAAACCTCCGGCAATTGGCAGCCTGCATGGGGCAGGGCTGGGACTGGTTCTCCTGGGACCCCAGAACTACCCAAGCCTAAGCACAAAGTCTCAGAAAAGGTTTAATAAATAAATGAATATCACTCCTTCCCACCAGAGAGCTCATATTCAACCCTCAAAATCCAGTTCAGATGCCCTGTTGTCACTTTCCCATCTTCATTTACCCCTTCATTCATGACTCCCAAACATGTATTACAGTACAAAGTGCAGTACAGTACAAAGCCTCTATTGCAGTACACTCACACTGCATTTCTGTAAGCAGCTTCACAGTGGTTTTCTTAACTCTATGGCTGACGGGGAACTTCTGGAGTGCCCTAGACCTGTTTGTCTTTTTACCCACAGGGCCTGGTCCAGAGAAACGGTTCAATAAATAATTGGTGAGATTTGAGGTCTGTGAGGGATATTACTCCATTCCCTGCAGAGCTGAGTTTAATTCTTTGTGTGATTTGGGATTGGAGGCATCTTCTGGTGCCCAGGCCCAGGGTCCTGGCCTGTGGACTCAGCCACCCTTCTTCCGCTGCCACTTGGCTGTGAGTTTCTGTATGAGCTCATGCGGCCGCCGGCGGTACTTCTGTTGGGTGAAGTAGAAAAGGATGGGGTCTAGCACACTGTTGGCACTGGCAAAGGGCCGCGTGCCTTTGTATGCAGCTGCAAAGGCCTCTAGCACAGGGCAGGTGACGCCCGGAGTGGAACGCACAGCCAAGTAGGCTGTCTTGGTGACATGGAAGGGCAGGAAGCTAATGACAAAGACAGCTGCCACCACCACAGCCATGCGGGCTGCCTTGCCACGCCGTTCCTGGGCCACTGGCCCTGCTGGACCATCCTGGCGGCACAGGCGGCGAGCCAGGCGACAGTAGCATGCCAGCAAGGCTGTGAAGGGCAGTAGGAAGCCAATGACTGTGAGGGCCATGCCATAGGGCAGGTAGCGGATGGCCAGGGTGGGTGGACTCAGGTCGTAGCAGACCGTGCGGTTCCGCTGGATGCCTGTGGCGGCAAATACAGCAGTGGGCAGGCACTGGGCTGTCACTATCAGCCACACAGCACCACACACCATCCAGGCAGCCCGGCGGCCCCCACGCTTGTGCCAGAGGGCCAGGGGGTGGCAGATGCCCAGGTAGCGCTGGAAACTGATGCAGGTGAGGAAGAGGATGCTGCCATGCAGGTTGGCATAGAAGAGGAAACGCACCAGGCGGCAGGCGAGGTCGCCAAAGGGCCAGTGGTCCCCCTGGGCGTAGTTGTAGATGAGCAGGGGGAGGGAGCATGCGTATAGCAGGTCGGCCAGCGCAAGGTTCAAGGTGTACACAGCCGTGCGGGTCAGTGCCCGGCGGGATGCACAGATCTGGACGATGATGCAGAAGTTCAGTGGCAGTCCCGTCACCAGCACCACTGAGTACACGGGGGGCAGTAGCAGCCGTTTGAAGTCCTCACTGTAGACGCAGGTAGTGGGCGGCAAGCCTGGGGCCTGGACCGTGCCATTGTCCCACTCCATGACTGCCCAGCTGGGCCTCCTATACTTGGAGAACCTAGGGAAGCAATATAAACCCTGTCAGCTCACTGACCACCCAGTTGGCCCTGTCCCTCTCTGGACCTCGATCTTCCTATCTGAATGATTAGGTCACCATGACCTTTGACATCTCTTAAACTCACCACCCATGGAGGCACACATAGCCCTTACTTCAAAAAAACTTGGAATACAATTCTGTGCCAGTCTGGGAGAAATCCAACTTACTTTTGTCCTATAGTATTCATTTCCTTCTCATTGTTCAAAACCCTAGTTAAATGTCTCCTCTGTTAGTGGAGGTTATGGACTTGGGTTTGAATTTCAGCTCAGCTACTTACTAACTATGTAACCTTGGGGTAATGATCTTTCTCTGAGTCCCACTTTCGCCACCTCTCAGGGCTATCATGAGGTTAGAAATATTAAAGCATGCTAGGCAGGGCTTCCCCTGGGCATCCTGGGGAAGGAGTTTGTGGTCATGGGGTGTGGGGAGGGGTTCTGTCTGTCTCGCACAGACCAAGGGCCTCTTGAGAAGTGTCAAGTTTGGTGCTTCTCTGTGTTATTAGAGCCAGGCCTGGGGCCCCGGGCAGAGAGGGCCCTGGTAACTCTTAGCTGACCTGGAGGAGAAGTCCACACACTGAGAGCTCGCTAAGAGCTGTTCTGACTTCCTCAGCCTGAATTCCACCTTCCAATGACATAGTTCTTCTTTTGATCACAGCCTGTAAAATAGGGGCAAGAGATGACTCAGGAGTTCCATGGGGTCTTTCCAATTGACCTGGGTCTAGCAGAGCTATGGGCACCACAGCACCTCCCTTGTGGCCAAAATGAAAATGGCTTCTTCCCTGTAAGCAGCTAGGTGAAGCTTTACAGAGATGGAAATTCAGAGCCCATGAAAGGCAGGGACAGCCAATCTCACTTAGTGAGTTAGAACCAGAACCCATAACCAGACCAGAACGCAACCACTTGGTTCAGAGGAGGCAGCTTAGCCCACGACGTGGGATGTAGAATTTACAAGGGTGGCTTCAGAGGTAGGTAGGTCTGCTTTGGAATGCTGGTGCCCCTTTGCCATACTAAGAGACTCCAGTCATGTCACTTTCATTTCCTGGACCTATGTCCTCAACAGAAAAATGTTCACGAGCCTAGCATGCAGTAGGTGCTCAATAATAAATACCAAGTCATCTCATCCTATACCTTGTCTCACCTTGGTTCAGGCTGTTTAGGGGGATCCAGTAGCATGAATACCTTAGGGGGTTCCCTGATGGGGTGTCTGACTCCTGGATCCTCTAAATGCTTCTGGGTAATGGCATTTGATGTCTAGAGGGAACTTAAAGCTTGAATGCAATGGACCTACAGAGCAAAGCCTTTAAGACGGTAAGTCCAGTCCTTCCCTCTGTCTATTGTACAGATGGAAAAAAATGCCCAGAAAAGATACGAAGTCCTACCAGTCTACTTAGAGGGTAGTAAAGACTTGAGGCCAAGTATATGGACTCTGGTCCTGATGTCCGGGTTCAAATCCCAGCCCTGCCTTGTGGGAGCTGTGTAAGCTTGGGCACATTACTTAACATGTGTGCCTCAGTTTCTTCATCTGTAAAATGAGATAAAATGGTACCTGCCTCAATAGAACAAACAGAAGACAGAATCTCAGAACTTGAAGATGAAATGGTAATTAAAGGAAAAACTGAAGAACTACTAATTAAACAACTCAAGACCTGTGAAAAGAAAATGCAAGAACTCACTGACTCCATCAAAAGACCAAACTTGAGAATCATGGGCATCGAAGAAGGAGAAGAGGTGCAAGCGAAGGGAATGCGTAATATATTCAACAAAATAATAACGAAAAATTTCCCAAATCTAGAGAAAGATATTCCCATACAAATGCAAGAGGCCTCCAGGACACCAAACAGACCAGATCAAAATAGAACTACTCCACGACATATCATCATTAAAACAACAAGTTCAGAAACTAAGGAAAGAATATTGAAGGCTGCAAGAGAGAAAAAACAAGTAACATACAAAGGTAAACCCATCAAAATCACAGCAGACTTCTCAACAGAAACATTAAAAGCAAGAAGAGCGTGGGGTGAGATCTTCCGGGCACTGAATGAAAATAACTTCAACCCCAGGATACTCTACCCAGCAAAGCTATCATTCAAAATAGATGGAGCAATAAAAGTCTTCCATGATAAGCAGAAACTAAAACAATATGTGACCACAAAGCCACCATTACAAAAGATTCTGCAAGGGATCCTGCACACAGAAAGTGACACCCAACTTAACCATGAAAAGGCAGGCAGCACCAAACCACAGGATAAGAAAAAGCAAGACAGTAGAGAGTAACATCAAGTTAGGTACACACAATCAAACCTTCAAACAACTAAGAAACTAAATGGCAGGAATCACCACATACCTATCAGTACTAACACTTAATGTTAATGGACTTAATTCACCCATCAAAAGACACCGTTTGACAAAATGGATTAAAAAAGAAGATCCAACAATTTGTTGCTTACAGGAGACTCATCTCACCGACAGAAATAAGCATATGCTTAGGATGAAAGGCTGGAAGAAGATTTACCAAGCCAATGGCCCCCGAAAACAAGCAGGAGTAGCAATACTTATCTCTGACAAAGTAGACTTCAAACCTACATTGATCAAACGAGATAAAGAAGGACATTCCATACTAATAAAAGGGGAAATAGACCAAAAGGAAATAATAATCATCAATCTGTACGCACCCAATGTCAACGCACCCAATTTCATCAAACATACCCTGAAAGACCTAAAAGCATATATAAACGCCAACACAGTGGTTGTGGGAGACTTTAACACTCCATTATCATCAATAGATAGGTCATCCAAACAAAAACTCAATAAAGAAATCCAAGATCTAAAATATGCAATAGATCAAGTGGACCTAGTAGATGTCTACAGAACATTTCATCCAACCTCTACACAATATACATTCTTCTCAGCAGCCCATGGAACCTTCTCCAAAATAGATCATATCCTAGGGCACAAAGCAAGCCTCAGCAAATATAAGAAAATAGAAATAATACCATGCATACTATCTGACCACAATGCAGTAAAAGTAGAACTCAACAACAAAAGTAAAGACAAAAAACATGCAAACAGCTGGAAACTAAATAACTCATTACTTAATGAAGAATGGATCATCGATGCAATAAAAGAGGAAATTAAAAAGTTCCTGGAAGTCAATGAAAATGAAAACACAACCTACCGGAACCTATGGGACACAGCTAAGGCAGTCTTGAGAGGAAAGTTTATAGCCATGAGTGCATATATTAAAAAGATGAAAGATCCCAAATCAATGACCTAATGATACATCTCAAACTCCTAGAAAAACAAGAACAAGCAAATCCCAAAACAAATAGAAGGAGAGAAATAATAAAAATAAGAGCTGAAATCAACGAAATAGAAACCAAAAAAACCATACAAAGAATTAATGAAACAAAAAGTTGGTTCTTTGAAAAAATAAACAAGATCGATAGACCCCTGGCAAACCTGACTAAAATGAGGAGAGAAAAAACCCAAATTAGTAGAATCAGGAATGCAAAAGGGGAGATAACAACAAACACCATGGAAGTCCAGGAAATCATCAGAGACTACTTTGAGAACCTATATTCAAATAAATTTGAAAATCTAAAAGAAATGGACAGATTTCTAGATACATATGATCATCCAAAACTGAACCAAGAGGAAATTAATCACCTGAATAGACCTATAACACAAAATGAAATTGAAGCAGCAATCAAGAGTCTCCCCAAAAAGAAAAGTCCAGGACCTGATGGATTCTCTGCTGAATTCTATCAGACCTTTAAAGAAGAACTGATACCAACCCTCCTTAAACTGTTCCATGAAATAGAAAGGGAAGGAAAACTGCCAAACACATTTTATGAAGCCAGTATTACACTTATCCCAAAACCAGGCAAAGACACCTCCAAAAAGGAGAACTATAGGCCAATCTCCTTAATGAACATTGATGCAAAAATCCTCAACAAAATAATGGCAAACGAATTCAGCAACACATCAAAAAGATTATTCACCACGACCAGTAGGCTTCATCCCAGGGATGCAGGGGTGGTTCAACATACGAAAATCAATAAACGTAATAAACCACATTAACAGAAGCAAAGACAAAAACCACTTGATCATCTCAATAGATGCAGAAAAAGCCTTTGATAAGATCCAACATCATTTCATGATAAAAGCTCTAAGAAAACTAGGAATAGAAGGAAAGTTCCTCAACATTATAAAAGCTATATATGACAAACCTACAGCCAGCATTATACTTAACGGAGAAAAATTAAAACCATTCCCTCTAAAATCAGGAACCAGACAAGGATGCCCACTATCTCCACTCCTATTCAACATAGTACTGGAATTCCTAGCCAGAGCAATTAGGCAAGAAGAAGGAATAAAAGGAATACAAATAGGTAAAGAAACTGTCAAAATATCCCTATTTGCAGACGACATGATCCTATACCTTAAAGACCCAAAAAACTCTACTCAGAAGCTTCTAGACATCATCAATAGCTATAGCAAGGTAGCAGGATATAAAATCAACATAGAAAAATCATTAGCATTTCTATACACTAACAATGAGCAAACGGAAAAAGAATGTATGAAAACAATTCCATTTACAATAGCCTCAAAAAAAATCAAATACCTAGGTGTAAACCTAACAAAAGATGTGAAAGACCTCTACAAGGAAAACTATACACTTCTGAAGAAAGAGATTGAGGAAGACTATAGAAAGTGGAGAGATCTCCCATGCTCATGGATTGGTAGAATCAACATAGTAAAAATGTCGATACTCCCAAAGTAATCTACATGTTTAATGCAATTCCCATCAAAATTCCAATGACATTCATTAAAGAGATTGAAAAATCTACTGTTAAATTTATATGGAAACACAAGAGGCCACGAATAGCCAAGGCAATACTCAGTCAAAAGAACAATGCAGGAGGTATCACAATACCTGACTTCAAACTATATTACAAAGCAATAACAATAAAAACAGCATGGTACTGGCACAAAAACAGACATGAAGACCAGTGGAACAGAATAGAGGATCCAGATATGAAGCCACACAACTATAAGCAACTTATCTTTGACAAAGGAGCTAAAAATATACGATGGAGAAATAGCAGCCTCTTCAACAAAAACTGCTGGGAAAACTGGTTAGCAGTCTGCAAAAAACTGAAACTAGATCCATGTATATCACCCTATACCAAGATTAACTCAAAATGGATCAAGGATCTTAATATCAGACCCCAAACTCTTAAGTTGATACAAGAAAGAGTAGGAAATACTCTGGAGTTAGTAGGTATAGGTAAGAACTTTCTCAATGAAACCCCAGCAGCACAGCAACTAAGAGATAGCATAGATAAATGGGACCTCATAAAACTAAAAAGCTTCTGTTCATCAAAAGAAATGGTCTCTAAACTGAAGAGAACACCCACAGAGTGGGAGAAAATATTTGCCAACTATACATCAGACAAAGGACTGATAACCAGAATATACAGGGAACTTAAAAAACTAAATTCTCCCAAAACTAATGAACCAATAAAGAAATGGGCAGTGAACTAAACAGAACTTTCTCAAAAGAAGAAATTCAAATGGCCAGAAAACACATGAAAAAATGCTCACCATCTCTAGCAAT